CCTCCAAGTGCAATCTGTTCTCTTTAGAAATACCCTGCTTCCCAATAAAGTGACATTGGAAACGATGTATGGTCGAGACTATTTATTTCAGCGAAAAACCCTGATATATCGTAATAGTCAACTTGACGGCTCGCTTTAGTTGGAGACTTATCGTTTCGACATCGAGAATCGTTATTTTCTGGCTTGGCCTCAAAAGAATTTGCCCGCATAATTTCTCCGAATAGATATTTCGCATAATGACTGCCTGCATTCAATCGAACTAGCAACTTCAAACGCATTGTTTGCACAAACTAACCTAATTGATATTAAAACGTGGCTCAATATGCGGAAGTTTATATTGAGCGCTACAAGGAGGACGTTTTATTGTTCGGGGCTGACTATGCTTCAAGTCCCCTTAGTAAATTGATTCTTTTACCTTGAAATATTAAAATTGAAAATTTTTATTAAATGTTTAGTGGTAAACGCACTAGATAATTGAAAGAAGAATTAATAATTTTGGGTTTTTGCAAATATCCTTAATGCTTCCACGGAGAGCTTTAATTTTGTCCCTATTTAATTCAGTCTAAGAAAGGTCGAACTTTTTATATCCTAAATGATCAATTTTGTTCAATCAGAATCATCTGAAGGATTAACTATTAATCCAAATGATGGTATTGGCACTGAGAATTTGTAGATAAACAATCAGTTTTGGCTGATTACTACTGGCAAGTTTCTTCTAGTCGTTTCATAACAACGCGCACTTCGGAAGCTAAAGTTTTTCCTTATCTTCAGTTTAAATTAAGATCGAGAAAGGAGATTTTTAAGGAAGAATAAAACAGAGAATAATAAACAACCGTGTGAACTGTATTGTACCTGTGCATTTTAAATTGATTTTCTTTTGAAACATTATTCGATATTATGCTCCCAAAAGTTGATGCGGAAGATGGCATGTTTCAAAGAACGTAAAAAATAATATATTTTAGTACCGTGTGCATCATAGGCAGTCAAATTATGAAAAATAGCTGTAAATGATTGTTGTTGCTAAGTGTTTGCTCGTTGGGAGATCCAAGAAAAAAGATCGTAAATTTCAAACATTTTAAAATTTTTTTGCCGACTGACAGAATATTATAAAAAAATATATTATCCACAGGTGATTTAAGCTGAATGCTGACACTTTTTGTCTGTATAGAATCCGCAAATATTTAATCCGGCTTTGTCAGTTCAAGCTTAAAATCGCTGAAAAACTCTCGATATGCCAATTGCTAATTTTGAGAAGTAGTTCAACATGTTCTGGATCCGTGGGTTCCATTGGTACTTGAGATGATTCCCGTTCCTTAAGAGTTCTCGTTTGTTACTCTGTCTTTTACTCGTGACTATGACTGCCGTACTAAACTTATTTTCTAATTTACCTATTATCATATTTGGGTTTTATGCCCAATTTTTTATTTGAGTTTATACGCAAAAATTGGGGTTATACGAACTAAATTAATTCATTGGCGTTATACGAACCAAATTAATTCATTGGCGTGTTCAAATAATTATGTTTGAACTGCACTTAATGTAAACTTGCATCCACGCGTCATTAATTATTAGCTGCTATTAATTTTAGTAAATAGGGTCCTTCCTTCTAAATTGTCAATTTTTCCATTATTTTACCATTTGGTGCTATTTTCGTCCTTATGCTAATACATTTTTTGCAAACTTTGGTGTAGAAGATGTTAGTGTTGTTTTAAAATTTAAACAGTTTTTGTTGTAAAATGTATTTAATATGAAGCATATTGAACGGTGTGTATCATAAGCAGCTTAATTGTGCCTCGCTTTAAGTATTATAATAATTGATTTTTCTTGTTTAATGGAACTTAAAAACTTTCTGAACCTTTCATTTAAAAGACTGAGATAAGCGAAAAATACTTAATAAAATTTAATCGATTTTAGAATGTCTGCAACTTTACGAAAGATTTTAAGGTGTGCAAGTTGGAATTTTTTTTGGAAACTTATTTTTAACTTACTTTGGCGTAGAAGATGCTGTAGTTTTAAAGATTAAAACACTTTTTCTCGGACAATGTATTTAACATGCGTTATTTTGAACAGTGTGTATCATAAGGAGTGAAATTGTGCGCCGCTTTAGTTCATTTTAAGTTTTGTTGTTTCAATGGAACTCAAACAATGGTTTGCTAACAGACGGGAAGGATTCACTGAGCAAGAATTTTCCGAATTATTTTAACGTGTGGAGCAATGTAATACGTCTCTACTAGGGAAAGCTCTCCATTGTGGGGATCAATGCTCGCCTATAGCGACATGGAAACTTATTGCCGTCTTTGCAGCGACTTAGGATATGGCGTGACCCGAAGGTTAGACGTATCCTTGTTTAGGTGACATCTAATGGAAAGACTTATGAGACAGTTGGCACAATTTCCTTTCTTTTCCAACGCGAGCGGATTTCTGGTTTGCTGGGTCTATATCTGATGACTCACTCGGGAGGAAATTGATTCGTGGGGCAGCTTTTGATTTAAACTTTCTGTTTAAATCAAAAGCCCCACAAATCAATCAAATGGCATTTTAGCAGTACTGAAGAAGGCATTTTTGCAATTAAGCTTGCTGGCTTTTTTCCAATTGCACTTAGTCCAGAGATGAATTATTAATACTCAGTAAAATTGAATCGTTTCTTGTCGAGTTCTTTTGTTGCCCACAATAACCCGTCCCGAAACTAATTACTTTCATTACAATGCAGTTTTCGTAAAATGTTAAAAGCTACATTCCCCTTTTGATGTGTTCAATTTACTTGGTTGGAACGTCAAAGGAAGCCACTGCAGACAAGTAATTTGAACATAAAGTTAACAAAAGAACATAATATAAATTCTTTTCGTAAGGAAAATGAGTTTATAATGTTCAAAGCCCCATTTCTAGGTATTCACTTTTGAGGGCCTACGTACAAAGTGCCGGCACAAAGGGTCGGATGAACTTGGAAGTACGGACCTTAATAAAAGATGAAAGAAGGAATCCCTACACGTAGGAGGAATATTGTTAACTAGATTTGTCTTTTTACTTTTCCCAGATTGATATGATGATGGGTGGTTTCGGATTGGGCTTGTCGAAGCAGTGTGATTTGAAGGCATGAAATTGTCGAAGTATTGCACTTGAGTTGTTTTTTTTTTGGAGTTAAGAAAAGAAATTGGAACAACTTCTGCAAGGAGTTGTTTATAATTAAGCCTTATTCAGCTAGAGTTAATCAGACGTTTTTCGTTTAAAATTGGAGAGTCAAGGAAATGACTAATTTATTTTAGAACTCTAAAAAATATATTTTTATGAGACACCGTTTGAAATGCAATTGTTTGCCAATGTTAAGAAAACCTGCGGATAAGAATACGACTACAAGTTTTTTTCAATCTTATTTAGATACTTCATTAAATCGTTGAAAATTGGCTGCTTATTAAGCACCTATGGCGCAAGACTATGAAGATCGAAATACTAAAAAGGTAGTTAAATATAAAAATAAAAAAATATCACTAGACGGTGGTCAAATAATAAACAATTACAAGGCAAACAAATACGTGGGCGCTAGCGTATCAGCAGACCGGACATCGGACGAAGCAATCAAAGAAGCGAACACTCAAGAAGGAGAGCCATTGATCAATTAAATAAAATGCTATCAGACTAAAACGTAATTAAAGATAGCCCGAAAAGAATGAAAAACGCCTTAAAGAAATTTACTCGATAATCACGTCCATGAGTGCAGAATATTTATAAAACACTTTTTAACTACCTGGTTTATCCAGGTAGAACCTACAAAAACAAAAAAACCGTCGTTTATTTAAGAAAAGGTTAAAGTTGAAAAATCCACCCACTTAATAAAATTTTTAAGCGTAATGAATTCTAAAACTTGCCATGTTTTTTTCGCATTGGAATTTTAATAAAACTTTGAGGTCTGTGTGTATATAAGGCCAAGAGAGTTCAAAGTTTTCGCTGTTTCCTGTTTCCTTTTGGAGCGCTTGGAGATTTTCCAGTTGAAGCTAAATCCAGAGTGCGGATTTAGCTTTTGTGTACTTCTTGCCCACCGATAAGGTTTTATTCCAAGTTGGTTTGTTGTCTCCATAAAATTAACAATATTATCACTATTAATTTATTCTATACATCTGCTCAAGTGGGCAATATGAGCAGGAGTAAAATCGATCCGAAACAATGTAATCTCAAGTTCCAGGTTTTGAATAAAGAATGTAACAGTATGACTTGTTGAAGCGATAAGCATCAACATAATTTCAACTTGGCAAATAGTTACTTAATAATTGGTAAACTTGAAATATTTATGAAGCCTTTTTTTTGTTGTTTGCCAGGTTTTCTGCAGGTAGTGTGTGGTAATGCCCTTGTTGACGATACATTTTGGCTATAATTCGTGCAAGACACATAAAAGTCTGATGCTTCATAATTTAAACGTTAATAAATCTCTGTTTTAATGTGTGGGGCACTTTGAGGCACATTTCTCATCTTGATACTTTCATATTTCAGCTTCTCCGTGAATTTGCACAAATGCTATTATCATGAGTATGAAAATATAAAAATTGAGTGTCAAACAGTTGCAAGTTAAGGAAAATTTTTATTTGTCTTTATATCAACAATTGTAACAGCGGTGAACTTACTATTTAAATTCGCTGTTCACTGCCTTCAAATAAAAGCATGGCTAATGAAGTTCAAGCTAGTAACAAATTTCCAAATCGTCGAAAATGACTATGCATCTTTTTATCTCTTAACCAAAAGTCGTTTAGCTGAACTATATATTATTATACCAGATAATTCCCAATTCTCCGGGCGCAAATACAAGACAGCGGACTAACATCATCCTGTTTCCTGCGGTTTTCCCGAAGGGTTGGGTTCGTCTCTCAACTGAGGTTAAATAAATTACAAGGATTCTAACACGCTGTTTATTAAACTTTGCCCTAAATTCGAATTTCAAAAGGCCAGCGGCAAATGGAACGACGCCGAAGAACCGGGAATTTAATATTAGTTTAATATATTTGTTTTTTTAGGGAGGCGACATCGTGCAGGAAACGATATACGCGAATGCCACCGATGACACGATCACTTTGGAGTTCCAAAGGTCGGATGGCACTCTGGTCACTCAGCTCATCGATTTTAGAAATGTGAGTCGAACATTCTAGGATGTGTAATCTTCGTTTGTTTGTTTTATCCTCCACAAGATGATGAGTATTCAAGAAACTATGTAAAGTTAAGTCAATCAAAATGTCGATAACAGATGCTCAGAATACTTGTATTATATTATGTTATTCTCTATCATTTCTGTTTTAAAAAGTAGCACCATTTTTTGCAATCTTTGAGTCAACCCTTCAGCGTACTGTTAAAAGATCAATTAGTGTTGCGTGTGTTCAGGAGACACTTTGTATAGTTCAAGTTATTGTATGGCACCGCTCCGAAAATCCTCCTCAAAGCTCTAATACCCACTCGGGAGTGTAGGTGATTAGTTTATAAACTGTTGGAGAAAGTTCGTCCAACTTTATTTCGCACTCGTCCTGCTGCTTTAAAACGGGAGGATTAAGTGTCACTCGCCTCCAACTTGGAAATTAGCGGTCATTTCAGCCGGCTTAGTGACGAGAAAGGACATGCTCTCTGTCCAGTTTTTGAGGGTTGCTTAATTGCCTTTTTTTGCATCGTATGATGAGGGCGGTATTCTTCAACGCTCAATTCTCATTTATTTTATTCTTGAAAGCTCATTCAAGCTTGAATTCAGCCGCTCGTGGTTAATAACTCACTTGTTAAACAGCGGCAAAAAGTTTGAAGATATTTGAGTTGAGCAAAATGGTAGCATAAATGTACACAACATAGGTTGGTTGAACTAGCGGAGCCATAAACAACAAGGGTTTATGAAAATTATTGCCCATTTTGAAGCACTCGTCGCATTACCCTACGAGCGAAAATGGGACGAAATACATTAAATGTTGGCATAGTCTTGATTGCAAGTGTCTGATATTCATTTTTTGGTTTCTGGGTCAAAACTACTCTGATTTGCTTGTGTTGTTCTGACTGAATCGAATTTTCAATTCTCTATACAACACTGCCAAAACGGATAATTCTGTGGCTCAAATGCAGCTTGAGAAACTTTGGCACCATCTTGCATCTAAAGGTTTGATATTCAAATTTCGATTTCTGGATCAAAACTGCTCGAATTTATTTACTTATGTTGTTATGACTGAATCCAAGTTTCAATTCTCAATCCAACGATGCCAAAACGAATTCTGCGGCTCAAATAGTTTTGGAGAAACTTTGAAAAACGCAGCGTCATGTTTGACTCAATTTTGCAACTCAAAAAAAAAACTTCTTGAAATCAAGACTTTTGAGAAAACTGCCAACATTTCCTTATCGACGGTTCAGTTTCTAAAAAGGCCATTTAGTTCTCTCTGGAATGATGTAAAAAATAGCGTTCTTGCTCATTTCTCGGAAACAAAATTGGGAAAACCGGCACGGAAATATGAAATTTTGGGGATAATCTTGCACCGAAATGTATGATATACAAATTTCGATTTCCGGATCAAAACTACCCGAATTTCCTCACTCGTGTTGAATGAATTGAATCGAATTTTTGGTTTGGCTCAAATGGTTCTTCAGAAACTTCGAACAACGCCGAGTCATGTTTGAGTCAATTTTGCAACTACAAAAAAAACGCGAAAATCTGAAACTTCTTGAAATCGGGACTTTTTTGAGAAAACTGCCAATGTTTCCTTATCGACGGTTCACTTTCCAAAAATGCCATTTATTTCTCTCTGGAATGATGTAAAAATTAGCGTTCCTGCTCCCTTAGTTTCCGGGAACTCAGCATAATCGGGACAGAAAACATGAAATTTTGACAGAATCTTGCACCTAAGGGTCTGATATTCAAATTTCGATTCCTGGATCAAAACTTCTCGAAAATCGAATTTTCAATTCTCTATCCAATGATGCCAATGTAATGCCATGACCAACCATGTCATGGTTGTCATGGGGGTCATGACCCCCTCTTATGCTGGGTCTATGCCGACTAGCGATAATTTTTCTAACTTCATAGACAACAACAGACTGAATTTCTGCTACATGACCTCCCCTGACTTGAAAACTGGATCTGCCCCTGGTTACATTGCCTGGAAAGCTTAATCATCAACCTGATACCCAAAGTGGCTTGATCGTTTCTCCTCAGTGTCTTACATCCCAACGGAGTCGTGCCGGTTAATTTTCAAATTATCTTCCACAAGGAGTTATGCGAAGATCAATCAGTTAATGTGACCTGACCTCCAATGAACCGTTTCAGGTAACAGAGAACGTCGCTCTAGTTAATTCAGTTTATGAAGTTCTGCCTTATGAAGTCGGACTTCTACGTGCGAATTTAATTAACTCTGGGTTGAGTAACTACAATTAACGGGGCTTGGCATATCCTGATGACAAATTGTATGAAATAAAATTGTGAAAAGTCAATAATTGACAAAATACTAATAATCTAGTCAAATAGTCTCGAAACCAAAAATGATATTCCGAATTCAGGCTTCTGCAAGAAAATTCTGCATCTATGGCGGAAATGTATTTTCTGTAAAAGCAACTAAAGTGTGAAACCTAAACGCTTCTGAATTCAAACTTTTCGATTTTAATGGTCAAATTCGAATACGATGGAGCACGAGGCAAAACATCCCATTTAACTCTTCGAAAATGTATAAATAAATATATGTAATCGATTGCAATCACTAAATATCTGAATAGCAAGTCAAACTGGAAAAGCTTAAGAAAGTAGATAGTTTGTGTCATGAGGCAACGGGCACTAATCTATTATAGTAAGTATTTTGTAACAATTCCCCGCAACTAACCTGACCTGGACCGCTCATAAATCAAGTCAGTACAATGACTGATAAGCTCAGAACGAGTGTTTTGGTCATTCACATCGAATGGTACGTGCTTCCATAGAAATGGAGAATTATTATTCGCAATTCATTTCCCATGTCGACATAATAACTTGCCGGAAAAATTTCCGACGGTTTATTTTAGTTTCCCCATAATAAATCATAGTRATTCGGCGTTGTTYGTCTGGAAAWATGCCCTGTAAATTATGGGACTGTAAATAAWTTTTTTTTAAATTGTCGATTTTGACAAATTGCTCTATATTTCTGGCTGATTGCTTCAATTAGTGTTTTGGCATATTTGTGGAAAATATCCCAGTCGATATAATAACAGAAGAAATASTATTTTCGGTCTYCACAATGCCTAAAGRGAAGGAAAGCTACTGCCAAAAAATCTAGTTCCTACACTTCCATTGTTTTKTTTGCAAATTCTGCTTCCAMTGGCAATTGTTTCCGAAAAAAACCAGTTTGAATCCARATATTTTTTTTCTGCGATTATCATCACTCATACTCATGATCATGTTCATTTTCCTCTTTCAAACCTCCTTACTGTTACAATGCATTTTACTACTTCTCAAAGTAAACAGTTATATTATAAATACGAAACATTCCATATGTGTTTATCCATTTAATTTAATTAAATCAGCATCAAAATTGAAATGCGATTAAACAAAAATTCAATTAAATGCATTTTAAACTTGTAATTCATTATAATTTAAATCGCTAATTTTCGAGCCTGAAATGTAATATCTATTTTCCTTTCCAAATTAAATTTTATACAGTTTGTTTTGCGAACGGCCGAAATTATATTGTGTCGTAGTACTAGTGCAATGGATGCGAAGTATTTCGATATAAATATTTAACATTCAGTGGCAGTTTGGCCATTTTGGTTTAATCATGGATAATTGATTGAAAGGCATGAAAAAGCGACATGTAATATTAATCTTTTGATAATGAGAATAAATGTTTGAAAATTGGAATTTTTTGTCTGTTAAATTGGACACCAATTTTAATTTGAAATTCAGAGTTCCAACTTGAAAAGTTCTATTCTGCACTCATCGGAGTATTTACTCTAAAAATTCCTCAGATATTCTTGAATTTGTAACCGAGCATTCAATGATGATGATCAAGAGGAACAGCTGAATCAATCAAATCGGCCTCCACTAATAGAAGACTTTTCTCTGAATCTATGGGTTTTTTCAATCTCATCCAGGATTTGTGGAACTTTTAGCAAACTTGCTACCAGCAGTTTTTCGCAAAACGAAACGTCTTCAAAGCTTTGCTACTGAAGAACTGGCAAATTTTAAAAAGTTTAAATCTTCGTTCTCTCGTTCTATCCTAGATTTGGCCTACAAGTGATCAAAATTCCTGGATTTTTGGTGAATTAAAATTCAAATTTCCAATAGGCTTTAAGGCGTTTCGTTTGTTCTATACATGGTGATTACGCATTAATTAAAGCATTACTTTGAGAGTGTTCCATCTTTAATTGGAAGCATATCGAAATACTTACGCATGCAAAAATAAAAATTCCGATCTTTGCTTAAAATGTCGAAAATTTTTCGTATTAAAAAAGTTCTCTTCTACAATATTTTGATGAAAAGTCAAGCGGCAATGATGTTTTTTTGATAGTTATAGGTGGATAGCCCTTATCAATAATAACAATAATTTGTCAAACTGTGACATACTTTGAATTTCATTTCACGAGTTTGGGGATATGCGTTTAGTTCAGGGGAAATGCTGCAGTAAAATAGCAGAAGCTGAAATAACTCAAGCCAACAAAGAGCGAGGAGAGTGGTTCCAGGAAGATAGTATGATGATGAAGCAACAGTTATTTACGTAATATTAATTGGGCAGAGGACCTTGAAAAACACTGTTGCCGTTGTTCTAATATAGTTTTTTGCAAATTTCTCAGTTTTTAATATATTCTGATTTATTTTCCTGACTGCGTGTACTTGTTATTATATTCTTATATTTCCTGGGTCTCAGTCAAAATGTGAAGTACAAACTTTTGATATCGTTTATTTCATTACGTTTCGGCGAGACAGCAGCGCCATCATCAGATTTAAAATTTTCACAAACTCATAATTGGTAATTATTAACGTTTAAACTCCTTAAAGACCGCGAGACCACACCTCCAGAGGAATGACGCCAATTTTGAATCATTTTTGAGCCATTTCCGATTTTGCGAATATTTCTTCAGATTTTACAGCTTATTCTCAATTAAGTCTCATCTGTTCTAATCGAAATATATACTCTATGGATTCCTT